GTTCTCGCACACATGCACGCACGCACGCACACATGCATGCAACGCACTTACGTACTAAGTGTACGTATACAACTAACACATATGTACGCCTGTGTTCATATGTGTTAGTTGCGTACAATCCATCAAGGAGACCTGCTATAGAGAGTGTAACATTTGATGATTGATATCGTTGATCTAAAAGTAAAAAATGTACGAAACTTTTAATAACTTACGATTTGTCACTGGCTTATTATTTGTGCCGATGCGATGCTCTTCGTTACGCTAGCATAAAGATCCTTGTATATTGACAGTATATTGTTATTGTGTGACTTATACACATTTTTTTATCTAATCACAGGTCCTGTTCCTATTTTTCATCGAATACGTTACCTCTTAAGATTAACTTCATCGGTGTTGATAACGCGGTCGTACCCGCCATGTTTAAGGTAATGGAGTCAATTTTAAACATTGTTATTAATAACACACTTATTAATTAAGATATTAAGATTAATATATTTTGTGCAGGTTGGTGATGATTTAAGACAGGACTCGTTGGTGCTGCAAGTGATAAAGGTGATGGACACGCTGTGGCTGAAGGCGGGCCTCGACCTCAGGATAGTCACCTTCCAAGCTTTACCCACTAGTAACCAAAGAGGTACCAAATATATTTCACCTATATTCATGTATGTTAATCTCGTACTCTACGCAAAATTTATTATTGCATTTCCCATCCACTTTGGAGACAATACATAATTTATAATTAACTATAATACAGGTATGTTAGTTAAGGAGACAAGGCAAATACAGACAGATAACACAGATAAAAAATAACTGTAGGGTGCAGTAAAAAAAAATTATAAACAAAAAAAAACAATTGAATTATTGATTGTAATGTAGTTTTATTTACCTGATATTAGGTATGATAGAGATAGTGACGGAGGCGGAGACACTACGCGCCATCCAGACGGAGTGGGGGTTGACAGGATCCTTCAAGGACAAGCCCATCGCGGAATGGCTCGCCAAGCACAACCCCTCCGAGCTGGAGTACCAGCGCGCCAGGGATAACTTTACTGGTAAAATATAAACTTTTATGCATCATTTCAACGTTTCCTCCCAACCCATTCTCTCCCACCATTTATTTTTCTTATCTCTCGCGTTCTCCCCTAAGCTCTCTCTCTCCTCCCTCTCCCTCTCCCTCTGTCTGTCCTTTTTTTGGCCTGTTGATATTTTGAAGAAAAAAGACATGCTAAATGGGAAAATTAACTTGATGTATACTGTATTTTATTGTGTTTGTATGAACAGCGTCGTGTGCTGGCTATAGCGTGGCTACATACTTGCTCGGCATCTGCGACCGCCACAACGACAATATCATGTTGAAGACATCCGGACATCTCTTCCATATTGACTTCGGCAAGTTCTTGGGAGATGCACAGATGTTTGGCAATTTTAAAAGGTATGTAGTGTACTTATTTACATATTTATTTATCTATCTATTTATTACACTACATTTATTTATTTATCATTTATTTATAATATTACATTCACGCATTCACACATAAACATTCACAACTCACAACATAACATCACATTCATAACTCACAAACACATTTCAATTTATACATTTTATATGGCAAAACTTTACACGTACAAACAAACACGCACACTCCACATTTTTATATACAATTGCAACGCGCTACAGAGCGCCGCCCGCGGCGCGGACGCAAAATGTCCGAAATGCGGAATCATGCACCGCGCCGCGCCGGCCGGCCAACAGTCGCCTCGCGCTGCTACACTGTGCTGACACCTCGCTCGTTTGCCCTCTCGCCCGCCATTTTGTTTACGTGTTTTCTTAGTTTATATTGTTTACGTGTACGTCTTAACTTGTATCCGTGTACGTGAAACAATAAACTGTTTTATTATTATATAGTGGTTTATTTCACTGCCCGGTGAAACTACATCCTCAAATAACCACTATAGGTATATTCAAGTTCTTTTTATAACTTGAATGTTTTTTAATTAATATCTTTAATAATCGTCCTATTTATAATTGCTTAAAATGACTGAAAATAAATTCTAAGATTACTTCAAGTATGGCAACACTTAAAAGGCAACCGAACATTTTATACATGATGATAGATGTGAGGTTGAAAATTCTGTATTAGTAAGCAATTAAGTTAAGGGTCTGTCCCATCACTTAGATAGCTCGAAAATGACGTCACTGTTAGATAAGGTAAAATCGGATCCATATATTTTACGCGTTCGATTGTTATCAGACAATTTACAATTTGGTGGGACAGGCCCTAAGTTTTTCAAAAGTGGCTGTATTATCCAGTTTTGGATTTTCCTTGTGTAGGGATCGAGCGCCGTTTGTGCTGACACACGACATGGCGTACGTGATAAACGGCGGCGAGCGGCCCACGCAGCGCTTCCAGCACTTCGTGGAGCTGTGCTGCATGGCCTTCAACGTGGTGCGCGCGCACCGCTCACACATACTGGACCTCTTCGCATTGGTACACACTATAACACGCACACACTCATGCTAGAGAAATTACGGCGTACTGAGGCAGCAAAGCTAGAAGTAATAAAGTTAGTTCCGTGCGGGTACAAATCCATAGATGGAGTTGTTTTCAGTAATGTGACTCAGGTAGCTGATCACTAATGACCCCGAATCTCATACGCCAGGTATACCTACCGTGTCTGACGGTGCCCTAAGCCTTTTTTTCCCTTTTCAGCGTAAGATTCTAAACGTTGGAGTTACTCCGTGGTATAGTATAAGTGATGCTCAATATATTTCCTTATTACGCTGTTTTCTTATGTAATTTTTTGTGTATTTTATGGGTATACTATTTTTCACTGTAGAATTAAATAAATAGACTATGTTCTTTTACACTTCTCTATTTCTATGACGAAGATCATCAAGATCTATTCAACAGTTTAGACTACAAACTCTAACAAACATCCATTTAAAGTATCTCATTATAAGACAAGTTGTATGTACTAAGATGGCGATGTCCGGCGTGCCCGGCGTGTCGAGCGCGGCGGTGGGCTACGTGCGCGCGGCGCTGCTGCCCGCCGCCACCAACGCCGAGGCTGCGGCCGCCTTCGCGCGCCTCATACACTCCTCACTCAAGAGCAGGTGACTCCGCGGACTGCCCCCTCCCCCACCACACACCACAACATGACTGACATAGAGATTGAGAAAGAGATAGGGAGAGAAAATATTATAGTTATTATTCAATCAATCTCTATCTCTACAGACATCTTTATCTACAGACTACTGTAATCAAAAAGAGAGAGGAGAGAGTGAGAGAGAAGTGTAACTATTGTCATAGTTTACAATTATTAAAAATAATTTTAATTTTGTTCGTAGATTTACACCCATCAACTTCTTTTTGCACAATCTGGCGCAGCTGAGGGCGAGTGGAGATCAGAGCAGTAGCACTTCGGAGTTGCTGTCGTTTATGCCGCGAACATATACGTAAGTTTTAACTTACTTTTCAACTGTTAGTTACTAGTTTCTCTTTCTATTCACTAAATGATGATTAATGTTTTTTTTTTACTTTTACATGTAATCAGTAAACACAAAAACTACTGGACCGATTACGAAAGTTCTTTTACCATTAGAAAGCTACATTATAACTGAGTAACATAGCCTATATTTATAACTATAAAGACATATAGTTTGCATTTAATTTCGATTTCATGACGTTGCGTGTTACCGCTAATAGAAAATAAATCGTAGCATGTCGGGCGAGGGGCGGCTGGTGCGCGTAGAGTGTCTCAGCTACGAGAAGCGCTACGACCCGGAGAAGCACTACGTGTACGCGCTACGCGTGTACCGGCAGGGGCAAGCCACGCCCTCGCTGCTCTACCGCTCGTACAAGCACTTCACAGAGCTGTACCAGAAGATCTGTCTGCACTTCCCGCTCGCTAAAGTACACGGGTGAGTACACTGTACTATCTGTACTATTTATTGCTTATCTGTACTATTTGTTTTCATTGCTGTTTCTTTTTGACAAAACACTTTTTTAAATTACTAAATTACTTTGTTATTTTGGGAATGATGCAAAGGAATGACCTACAAGTGACCTTCAGAGAAAGACTGAAATTATAAAATGCAATTAAATAATTTTTATTCATAAAGATAGGTTAAATAAAATACTTACAAAAGTAATAAAAAGTATAAAAACAAACTTCACTTATTAAAATAAAATTAGCTTCCACATTGATATATCTTTAAGCATTATCTTAAAGTATCAAGTGACTTTAATATTTTGAAATATTACACTAGAAATTAAACTTGTCAACAATAAAAATAGATTTTTTCTTATGAATTTATAAATTATCCATGAAGAATAATTTCCTTTCTTTAAGTACGTACAATAGTTAACACAGCGATAAGATAAGACTAGGTAATTTTGATGTATAAATTTAACACTAAACGTATTGCTACTCATGTAAAATAACATTATACCTGCATCCGATGACAGCACCGATAGTTTTCTAAAAACCGGCTGAGTTGGAGCAAGAGAGCGAGTGCATCTCATGTTATTGTGAACGCATTAATTTATATTTCAATTATACTTCGCTGTTATTTTTAACCTCCACAGAGGTCTGTGTAACTGCATTATAGTTTAAATCAAGAACTCTACTCTTTGGCTTTGTAGTAGATTTAGTCTGCGGTCTATTTAATTGTTCCCTGTGTTGCGACACAAGATCCCAACTGCTCTCTTCCACTGGCTTACTAAAGCTGGTATTGCCAGTGTTATCGTTTTCATTAGGTATTACTTCAGCGGAGTACGGCGGTGGGCCGCTACTCCTACTAATGGAACTTTCTAGAGTGTTGCTGGAGTAATCTGGATGTTGCTGTATCGGTGGTTTGGGTGCTCGGCCTTTCTTCTTCTCTTTTCTAGGTTTGTCTTGATGTGGCTGTTCATTTGTTTCTCTTGTCAACTTCTTTAGGTTCTCTTGTTTACGAGGTGGTTTCTCCCTCTTTCGTTGTTCTGGTTTCTGTGATTCTATTTTCCGTTGTTCGTTATTGCTTTGTTTTCTTTCGCGACCCGAAGACGGTATATCGCTTGTACTTTTTCTTGTGTTTTGATGTACGTCTTCAACAGTTAATAAATTGCTAGTGCTTTTAGCGTGTTGGATACGTTGCCTCGGTTGATTGGAGTTATTTATAGGTGTTAACTTTCTAGGGGAATTGTTAGGAATGTTGTTGACAACTGAAAAAGATTAAAAATTAAGTCGTTTATTGACATTTCCGGATTTTCTTATCTAGAAACAAATATTTAGCTATAACGACTAAAACGTCAAGTTTTTTAAACAAGGCTAAAATTTAGATTTAATCGTTCAAAATATAAATTTAAAGTAACTTGAAAAATTTTATTTTTAAATCGGAAACATGCTAGTGTATAAACTTTAAATACTCCAGTATCAGTGAAGTAAAGGTTATTTGAAACAAGATAGAACTAATGTAACGTTTTTAACAATTACCATAATATTCCTCCTTGTTCCTCCTATAAGCGCCCAGTACAGGTATATCAGACTTTTCATACTTTTCCCCGCCACGCTTGTTTCCCGACAACAAATTAAACGAAGCCTTAAATCCTCTGAGTTTCAACATCAAAACTGAACACATTATACCACTTAGAATTAAAATCATCGACACTTCTACACAATATACAACTTTATTCTTAACACAGCAAAGCACAATTTGTCTCGAAACTGTTTTCAACTGTGGTTTATGTTTTCTTAAACTGTTTATTGCACTGTTTTTCTTCAGTATTTTTGTTTAGTGATCTAACGACCGCTGATGTTAACGGAATGGGTACTCGCGATTTATTAGATAAGATTGCGCCGAGTGTCAGGCGCAGTTTGAATAATGTAATCTTATCAGTAACAAATTGTTTCTGTTATAATTTAACTTATCGTGTCGGACGCACGGAGGCATGTTCATTGGAAATAATCGATCTTCAAACCCGATTAGTGGATACGATGGAATTTGCATGATGTAGATCTATAGAATGAAATGGTAGCGCCTAGATTGATGAATTGTTAATATGATAATATTTTGTCTAATCAAAGAAAGTAAAAAGAAACCGGCAAAAAAGTTAAAAAAAAAAAACAGTTTATATATGGTTTCCATTTGAACCGTGAACCCTTAGCCTGCCGTCTGGTCTGCACGTGGGGCGGTCGAACACGCGGCAGGTGGCGGAGCGGCGGCTCAGCGACGTGCAGGCCTTCCTCACCTCCCTGTTCAATTTGGCGGACGAGATCGCGCACTCAGACCTCGTGTACACATTCTTCCACCCCCTGCTGCGAGACCAGCAGGACGTTGAACCACAGAGGATGAAGCATCGAGGTACGACAAAGCAATATTTCATTTAACAATTATTTAGCAATTCATTTAGCAATGGCAAATGTATAAATTACCGTTACCATAATAACCTTACTTTCTTAATCTTGACAACTTGTAGTTAATGGTCCATTTCCCACATGATGTTTTTCCAATTTATTTTCTATGTTTAATAGCGTGAAACTATATAGCTTAAAGCATGTCGTAAGTGTAGGACTTTTTCTCAAAGTAAGAATTCTTCAAAAATATACTGTGTTTGCTGAAATTCTACGCCACAAAGTAGTGTATGTTAACGTATTTGAGACTGTGTGCAGGCGAGTCGAGCGAGGCGGAGAGCAGCGGCTCGGGGTCGCTGAAGCTGTCGGTGCAGTACGCGGGCGGCGCGCTGGCCGTGCTCATCCTGCACGCGCAGTCGCTGGCCGCCACGCCGCAGGGCCTGCCGCCCAACCCTTACGTCAAGGTACATACACCACGTACACGACGTACGTACGATACGTATCCATACTTACCAATGGCGATTTTCTAAAAGTATCTAATAAAATTCTGTCAATAGTTATTGGACCTACTTCCTTGTAGGGATAAGAAGGAAAAGTGAATATGACGGAGGATGCGATGGATATGAAGAGGAAATTTCCTCTTTTCTCCTCCTCAGCCGTTTAAAAGTCGACAACTCAACTGCATTTTCAGATGTCTATTGACAACGGTCGCTTTGTTTACGAATTCCAATTCAAGTAGCCATTTGTGCGTTCTGCACTTTCTAGTTTAGTTTCTCAAATGAGAAAGCTGATAATGTTACCGTATCTTTCAGGTGTACCTAGTGCCCGATCCAACCAAAGAGACGAAGCGCAAGACCCGCGTGCTGAAGCGCAACTCGCACCCCTCGTTCATGGAGATGCTGGAGTACCGCCTGCC